GGCTGACGAGCAAGCGGCCCAGCGGTACAGACTCTGTCGGAACCGAGTGAAGAGCGCCCAGATCAGCGCCAAGTCAGACTTCTTCCAGACTTCAGACTTACCACCGGTCGCGCCGTACCACGTGGAAGGACATCAGACGCTTCCTCATCTCACCTAGAGCCGGAGCGTCTTCTGCGTCTTCATCTCCGAGTGGCCCTCGCTGGGCTGACAGACTAAACGAGTACTTCGCGTCGGTCGGCCCGAGCGTGGCCGCCGTGCTGGAGGAGGCGCAGCGCGTGACCGAGCCGCTGCCGCCGCGGCCGCCTCGCGTGGTCAGCGGCGATTTCCGCGTCCACCCCGTGACACTGTCAGAGCTGTCAGCTGCCGTGAAACGTATGTCAGCGTCTAATGCGAGTGGTGGTGACGGTATCACGATAGGTATGCTGCGCATGACTTTCCCAGTGATAGGCCCGCATCTGTTAAAGGTCATTAACTCGTCGCTGGTGTCTGGAAAGTTACCCGCCGACTGGAAAGTGGCTCATGTCATACCGTTGCATAAGTCTGGCTCGATGGATGACCCGTCTAACTATCGTCCGCTGTCGCTCCTGTCAACTGTCGCTAAGGTCGCTGAGAGTGTTGTTTGCGGTCAGCTGATGACTTACCTGCTCACGCACAATATTCTCTCCGAGGTGCAGCACGGCTTCCGGCCCGGCCGATCCACGGAGTCGGCGATGCTGGATACTGTCAGTTTTCTCATGGATGGTCTGGATGACGGTCTCATCGGTTCTCTCACGACCGCCGACACTAGCAAGGCTTTTGACAGTGTCCAGCATCCCCGGCTCCTGGAAAAGCTGGGCTGGTACGGTATTAGCGCACACTGGTTCCGTGACTGGTTGAGTGACAGGTGCCAGATGGTGCGGGGTGGTGAGGAGGTGAAGCCAATCACCCACGGCGTGATACAGGGATCACTTTTGGGACCGATCTTATTTTTGCTATTTTCAAACGATCTTGCGTCCTATGTCGACTCCAAAATAGTGATGTACGCCGATGACGTTCAGTTTTTACATCTAGCATCACCGAAGCGAATTTTAGAGCTCAAGACAGATACCGAATGTACTTTAGACATTGCGAGTCATTGGTTTGTTCAAAACTGCCTAAAAATCAACCCCAAGAAGACCGAACTGTTAGTTGTAAAATCACGTAGGAGGCAGCTTGACTTTGATTTTAATGTACTGTTTGGAGATGATGTTATTCAAACTTCCGCTAGCATTAAGGTATTGGGTGTAATTGTCGACTCTGGCTTGACCTTTGAGTCACATGTGACGGAGGTGATTCGCCGATGCTACGCCACACTAGGAGGACTGTGTAAATCTTCGCGATGCTTACCGAAAGAAGTGAAGAAACTGATCGTTGAGATGCTGATCTTCCCCCACATCCGCTACTGTTTGTCGGTCTGGTCGAGCTGTGGCGTTGTTCAGCGTCGCCGCGTGCAGCGAGTTATTAATCACTGCGCACAGGTGGTTATGGGAGCGCGCCGCTCAGCACACGTGACTCCGCTGTTGGAGGAGCTCGGGTGGCCCCAGATAGACGAGCTTGTGGCGGAGAGTGACTGCGGTGTTGTTCACTACTTGGTTAACAATACCAGTGCGCCGAGGTGTCTCTCGGAGCGGCTCGAGCGCCGCAGTGACGTCTCTAGTAGAGAGACTCGTGCCACTGAGAGCGACCTGCTCCAGCTGCCGAAACCCCGCACCGAGCAGGCGCGGCGGTTCTTCCGGTACCGCGCCGTTGCACGCTGGAACTCACTGGCCCTGGATGTGCGTGACAGTAAAACGTCTGCTGGGTGTCGCAGGCGCTTTAGGAAGGCGCTTTAGGCTCTTATAATGTGTGATACCACGTCATACGTGCTGTACTTTTTTCCTTTAACATCTTTACCATTCAGCGTATATGTATTTATGTATTGACACTTGGACAGAATAGCCGTGAATATGGAGTTCCAAACGAAATAAATGATGATGATGATGATATGCCACCACGTTTTACCGATGGATAAGATTTAAAAGTCGGTTAGATCCCCGCTGACGTCACAAAGTCTAAGGGACATTTAAATGCATTAGCCTATTTAGAATTTGAAAACTGCATGTTTGAAATTAAATATTTCCGAATTAAAGCAGTCCCCGATGTTGTGAATATGCAAACCGGTAGTTGCGAGCCAGGGACTCCAATTTGGCTACCTCAACTCAAAATTAATGTTAAGCTGTGATGGTCAATTTAGTGACCAATGAACATCACAGCTTAACATTAATTTTGAGTTGAGATAGCCAAATTGGGGTCCCTGGCTCGCAACTGCCGGTTTGTGTACTCACAGCATAGAGAAATAACTTAAATCGGAAATATTTAAGTTCAAAGTCAGCAGCACTCGAATTCAGAGGGGCTAATGCATTTGAGTGCCCCCTCTGACTTTGTGACGTCAGTGCAGATCTAGCGATTTTTAAATCTTATACTAAATCCTTGATAAAAGAATATTGTTGCTGTGGTAGCATCGTGTTCGTGTTCATCGTGTTCACCTAGCACAGGCGCATCGAGTGATATACTTTTTGTTCGGGTGAGGTCAATTTAAGGCATTGACCTCGTGAGTCGTGAAAAGGTCAGGTCAGAGCTCCCAGGTCACGAGGCTGGTCGAGTAAGGTCATGTTGCATATCATTCGATTTGGCAGGTCTTTCTGAGTCCATTTGTGGCTCTCCCGATTCGCTAGCTCAATTTGATCGGGAGTTATTGAAGAAAACTTTATGACCCTTGTGACGTCGCATATGACGTCACGCAAGGGCAACAATGCAAATGTGAAGCATCGGACCTTGCAAGGAGTGCATGAAATCACGATTCTATATGCTTGAGATAGTTTCAGATCATTCCCGGCGCCACAGGGTCTCGGCTAACATGTTAACTGGTGGGCCAAATGGCCCACCAGTGACCCGAAATGGCCCACCAGCCTCAAAGATTTGGCCCACCAGTAATTTTCCGAAAAATCTAAGTTTTCACATTTTTCACATTTCAAATTGAATTAGCAGATCTTATCGTACATTTTCAGGCTGTAAAGGACCCATCGGTGAAACATATTCTTGTGAAAAAAAAACTTCAACCTATTGTTTGCAATATCCTCTTGGGGTAAAAAGTGAACTATAGTGGACTAAGTGGACTAAGCCTCGGTCACACTTCACCGGATTGGACCAATGGACGAGAAACGGACGGCGTCCGGTGATGTCCGGGGGATGTCCGTTCGTTTCCGTTGGACGTCCGTTTCTCATCCGTTCATATCCGTTCCATGTCCGGTGGTGTCCGGTGTGCTCAACCGGACACCACCGGACATGGAACGGATATTAACGGATGACAAACGGACGTCCAACGGAAACAAACGGACATCACCGGACGCTGACAGTTCTCGTCCGTTTCTCGTCCGTTGGTCCAATCCGGTGAAGTGTGACCGAGGCTTTAAATTTTATGCAATAATCGTGAAAGACGTCTGCCTCTATCAATTACAGATAGTGTCGGCGGCTTCCAGCCGATCGAGGTCTGCGAGAGTTCTTGCAAGCTTTCCGATCGATCGAGTGGTTGCAGTCACATAAGCATCTGCCGCAGACCAGTCGGTTACAAGAAAGACTACGAAAAAAGAACAGACCAGTTCAGACGGTCGGGGATAAGCCTGCGAGCGATCTCAGACGGCTCGCCGATAGACACGATATAAGCCAGAGTCAAACTAGAGGTAGTGTCGGCGACTTCCAGCCGATTGAAGTCTGCAAGCGATATTATGCGTCTTCACGACCGGTATGATGCTTGCAGTCACACATCTGACCAGTTGGACGAATTTCGAACCGTTCACAGTCAGCGTTCCAAAAATTTATCATTTGGGCTGAAGATGACACTCAAGAATAAGAATGGATAATTTTCCACTCTCACATTTTGGGTGGCTCGAATTTTCCACTCAGACACCCAAGAGAAATCTGAAGTTTGGGACACTGTTCACCAGAAGTGAACGTGTACATAACTTAGTTTTTTTTTTAAGAAAATATCAGGGCTGCGCAGTGCGCTTGGGCTTTTGAGTCAATTATTTTCCATGCGACACCAATAGGCTTAATGATCATTTTCAAAGATGTTGGGGTTGCTGCTACAACCCCCTTTTGGGGTTCCTGCTACAACCGACTTTATACATGTATACACTGAGAAAAAAGTTGACTCTTCCCAGTAGTGGGGGAGAGTTGTCATTTTTGGTTCAGCCAAAACTCTCACTTTGCTCAAAACTCTAGCAAAACTCCACATTTACTCTTACTGTATTCTCCTAAAACTACTTGAATATTCTTTCGACTCTTAGTTAACTCTGTTGAAACCCTTTCAAAACTCCGGAATACTCTTGTGACTCTTAATAAATTCTTCCATGACACGTCCAAAACTCTGGAACAACCCTGGTGACTCCTACAAAATGCTTCGATGCTCTCTTTAAACTCCTTTGTAACCCTTCCAAAGATCCCTTTCCAGGCCCGACTCTTTTAAAACTCTCACAAAACTCTACCCGTATCCTGCTAAAACTCCACCCAAACCACAATCGAACTCTTCTTTATTTCCAGCTAAATTCCCCAAAAGCGTTCTCAAAGACGTGCCTAAGAATCCGGAAGAAAACTCAAACAATTTTAAAGTTGAAATGTATTTATTTCCTGAGATTTCGTGTAGCGCGCACAGTCCGACACCAGCGGCGCCCGAACGGCCCGCGCTGTTCGCACCGGCCGGCCGCCAGCGAGCGAGCGAGCGCAGGGGCCGGCGGCGCGACGAAGAGCGCACTCCCGCCCGCCCCCGCCGTCCGCCAACACGGGAAGGCACCAGGAAACGATGGACAGAAAACAGAGAGCGGGAGAACAGCCGCACAAGAAGCCTACAAAACAAAAACGCGCTCTTCCGCTGCTCCAGCGCGCCCGACAGCCGGGCGGCCGGCGAACCACATGGACGTGCCTACGATAGCACATGGGCGCAGCTGCTGGCCGCCCCTTGCGACCGAGAAGCCTTCAAGGCTTCAGCGCACCATATCCTGGATGGCCTTGGCCACGTTTCGGTCCACCGCCTTTTCCACCGGTAGGTCTAGGATATAGCACCGCATGAACCAGCATGTGTTTTTCTGCAGCCGGCCGGTTTTTTGATGAAAGATGAAGAAGGCACACGCCCACAGGGTGAGGGCGTCGACCAGGCTGCCCGCCTCTCCGATGCTGAAGCCCTCCACCCAGACAGTGTACCGTGGCTCCTCCTCTTCATCGTCTTCCTTCTTCACGTGGGGGCGTCGGGGCGCGTCCTCGGGGAGAACATGCTCATACTCCCCCAAGACGCGCAACAGAGTCTCCGCAGCGCTGTCTGAAACACAGAGTCGGTGGTTATAGCAAAAAGATAATGATTGCTAAATAGCGGACATGGGGTTGGATCCCGTGATCTAGATCCGTGACCTCGTCCCAGGGATCTGACTCTTGGGAATGAGACTGGATGTTTCTTGGGGCAGGGGTTGGGAATGGTGGTGGTGGTGGAGGGGGGGGGGGATGCCGTGCGTATCAGCAAATCATTGAAGCGTAGGGCTAGGCAGTGCGTACCCTGCGAGAAGCAAAGAGTGTCATCGATGACTTAACTGTATGAAATGATAGGAACCAGCGAAATGAAGATCACGTTAGTATCTCACTTTCTTCGCAAATACGCGTATATTTAACCCGCGCGGGGCTGGGGGGGGGGTAAATTTTACCCCCCCTCGCGAATTTTTGCAATATCTCAAAAACAGCGGCGCGCAGTGCCGCCAAACTTTCAGTACCTTTTCTTACATCAATTTGACACGTTCCCTGAAAATTTGAGCGAAATCCGTCGGAAAGTTTTTGAGAAATTGACGTTTTAGTGACGTCATGTTCGCCATTTTCGCCTCAAAAACGGCAAAAGTTCAAACGCCGCTAACATCTTCATTTTTAAAGGAATCAAGACGTAACAAAAAAGGATATACGTAATTCTACTTTGTGTATCAAATGGCTATCTCGGTTTTTTGAAAATTTTGGATTTTGGCCCAAATTTTTTCAAAAAACTGACTTTTTGGGGACAATAACTATAAAATCCAAAATTTTGAGTGTATCGAAAAAAACCGGAATATATGTCAGAGAAGTGGTCTATGTGCACCTACATACCAAGTTTTAGAAGAATCGGTTCAAAAATGTGGGAGTTATTCAAAATTGTATGACGTCACGACACACAAAATTTTGAAAAATGACTTTTTTGGAAGTTCTAGACCTCGTACGGAAACAAAAATAGCACCATTCGATTCGCCGTGAAAAACTGCATCAGATAGACACCTTTTTAGGCCTTAACAACCGACTTCAAAATTTGACCTCACTTGACCTGACCTTGACCTGGCCTCGACCTGAAATTCATCCAGAGGTGGTCCATATCACTTACTGAGTGTGCCTATTGAATTCTATGAGTAAAATGACCCATAAAACATGTGTCGCACATGCCCTTTTCTATATTTTGTTTTTGGTGACCTGACCTGACCTGACCTGACCTTGACCTTGACCTCTGAATGATATTGTATGCAACGAATGTTGTCTTGGTAGCCTAAGAACACGTTTTGGGCGATCAGTCTCAGTCCATGACTCCATTCTTCGGCAACTACGGTGCAAGGCCGATACTGTAGGAACTTGCAATTTGTACCCTTGACCTGACCTTGACCTTGACCTCAAACTTAAAATTAAGTACATGTTTTTAGTTGTTCGTGATGAGATCTTTCGATTGGCGTTTGAATTTTCCAAATCGGACCATTAGTTCGGGAGATAACAGGGGGGGTAAAATTTACCCCCCCCCCCCCCCCAGCCCCGCGCGTTCGGCTGGAGACCCCAGCCCCGCGCGGGTTAATTAGTTTATAACGTTGCGCTCATGCAGTAATTTTTACTGTATACTGTCAAACGCTCAGCAAAGATAGTATATTCCAAGGTATATTCCTCACCATCGTTGCATGCATGCATCTTGTTGCAGGCAGCGGCAAGGAAGGGAGCCATCTTCTCCCGACACGCTCGCAGGCACTCGCTTCGGGACTCGGTGGAGCTCCGAAGTCTTACACTGAGAAACACATTTTAGAACTTATACTGATAGTACTCACCTGAGTACCTTCGATGGTTTCCATTTTGCCGCTTTGAGGAATTGGTCTTTCCCGAGAACTGTGCATGGTCTCCACTTCGGTTTCAGGAGTGGATTTGGTCTTGACCGAGATAGTTTAGTACTGGAAGTTGTCTAGCTACCCGTGTAACGCAAACAGTCGGTCTGCGGTGAGATTCGAACCAGCAGTCATTCGGTCAGAAAGGATGGTAAACTTCTCACTTTTTTCCTTATAGTTCTCGCAGCTGACGTGTTTTGACGACAGATGTCAGCACAGAAGGAAACTAAAGGCGTAGGTGGCGCTGTGTTAAGAGTAGAGCAGTTTGAAGTGCTGCGATTCCATTTTCGCTTAGGAAAATAGCAATTATTGATAAAAATAAAACATGTATTTTTCAGTAGAAGAAATAATTTTTAATGAAAAAGAGCCTTACTATATGACACGATGTTTATCGATTTTAACAGTTCAAACCAATTCAAATGGATATCCCTAAGGAACACCTCTATAATGCCTCAGTGCTTCCGGTCCTTCCTTTCTCGAAAGCACTGCGAAGGCTGCCGGCAGCGTGGTTGTTCCTTTCGCGAGTTGGTGTCTGGCGCACAGCGCGAACGTCTCATGGTGAGTTTGTTTTCTGTATTCTTTGTGTGCACTTAACAGCTTGAAAGTAACCACAGCAAAGGTAATTACTTACTCTGGGAGGTGGCAAAATCTGTGTGCCATTGCCCATTTTTGGGATATAGGACAGGTTGCGATTGCCATCTGTTTGCCAGTGTTAGCAAAATCTGCTTAAATACCAATTCGTGTGCTCTGAGGATATGGCTTAGAAATTAAGCGTTTCTGCCGTTTCTCTAATATTTGTCTTACTCTCCCTTTCAGAGCAAGAAGCCGTAGAGACGATGCTCTCAATGTTGGACACCGAAGTGAGGCAACTCATCGCGCACAACGCCAAAATGTCCCTGTTGTGTCCCGGCCCTGGGTCACGCGTGTCGCGCCTTGACAGCCGTGACCTTGAACGACCTTGACCGGCCGGGCCGGGCCGAGCGGCCGAGGGTCAGTATCGTCCGAGCGGCGCTGGTGTCAACACAGCTGAGTGCCGCGAGGTGAGGTGAGGCGTGTTCGCCGAGACGGTCCGGCCACAGTGAAATAGTGAAATAGTGGTGTAATCGATAATATGCGTGGCCAGTACGCGAGTGAGATTGACCCTGTGCGCGACACCGATTCAGAGACGCACATAAGTTAACACCGTCGTGTCGGATCGCTCGTACCGGTGATGGGAGACAACGAGCAGCTGGAGCGTCTGATGGCGCTCATGGTTCAGCAGTCAGCAGGCTGCCATGCTGGAGTAGCTCCTCCCCAGCCAGATGCAGCTACCAGCTGCGCAAACTGTCTAGAGCGGCCAACCGGCTGTCGTCGCCTCCGCCGCTCCTATGGCTAGACTTCGGTCTCACATGGACTGCCGTCGGTAGTGTTCACATGCCAGCCCATACATTTTACCTGTATTAACTTTTTAATGTCTGTGCCTGTGTAACTCATTGTACGTGCCTGAACTTAACAGTGTTTGAATTGTACATCGTTCGCACAGTCTGTGGACCGTGGGGAACGCCGCTTGACATGCATTTTTGCACTTACCTGCATTCCGTGTTAAAAGTAAAGTAAAGGGACTGAGCTGTCGTGCACCGGGAGATATTATGGTCTCTTGCTAAACGACACAGTTGAGACTCAGCACGCTGGTCGGTACTGACTGGGGCGGCAAGCGAAAGGGTTTGGGCAGCTTTTGAAACAAAATGTTCAAAATGTTCGAATGACTGCATCGCATGTTCTGTTCCAGAGTGAGTTTTTTTGACATCTGACACAATAAATATACATGCCTGTTCTTTACCTTGTTTGTGCATGGAGGGAATGGGAAGGATCGAGAACGCGGATGCTGTGCCATGAAAAGCTGGCGCTCTACAGGGAGGGGAGAGGGGGGGGGAATGGGTCGTGAGCGCGAATGCCGTGCCAGGAAAGCCGGCGCTCTTAAGTTGTAAAGTTCTCGGAGACCATACAGGATCATATTATGAGCGGGAATTGTGTTTGTTTATGATCTCATGACCTGGTAAAGGTTCTCATGGGAGATCATCCCGCAGTATAAGAGTACCTTATCCGGGCAAAGCTCTCGTTCAAGATAGCACACCATTCTCACTCGAGAACGTTACGGGAAAAACCTGAGAACTTTACCAAACTGGAGACCAACAACTGTAAACAAAGTCCTCCCCAATTGAGGCTCTCATACAAGACCAGAACGACCCCTGCATGGTCTCCGAGAACCATGGATAGGCTTGAGTGTTTCTCAGTGTAGGTACTCTTCGATGCACTGGAAATGGATACACAGGAAACAAGGATGAATGGAAATGATCAAAGGAAATTAATTAAGGTTACCAAGAACTAAATCGGTAAAAGGGTGTTGTCGTCAACAATACATCACGGCTCGTCGGAGGGTCACTTTATACTCAAAAGACGTGGTATGCACCATTCGAACGGCGACGACGAGACGATTTCAAAAATGTAAAGCTCATGAGAATCGGTGGACTTAAAAAAAGAGATTTTGTTATCGACTTGAACTACTTTACGTCAGAGGCCTTTTCGACTCCTTATATTCATCAAAGGCATGAATATTTGCACTCACTGGAACGGCGATACACAGATGATCAAATCCATCAAGAAAATCAAATCTACATACAACGCATGTAGGGGAAATTTGGGTAATATCGGCATACTTTCTTTAAACCCATGTAACTACGAAATTATTTGCATTATACACAATGTAATACTTTTAAACGATTCACCATTAACCCTCGCCCGCACATGGGGGGGGGGGGGTGCCACCCCCACCCCCCAGGTAGTCTTTCTGCTCTGCACTCGACATTTTTAGAGCTAGAAGGCTGATGTTTCGTATAGCTGCTCCTCTATCCTTTCTTGATGTCCACGGAAAATTTCAAGTTTCTGTGGTTTTTGGTTTCGGAGATATGACCTTGTTTTTCAGGTCATGTCATGACCCAAATGGCCAATTCTCAACATCTTGCGTTGGCTATGGGCCTTGTGAGCTTTTAACACCTTGATTTCGGCCTTTTATGCCAATCCTACCTCCCACCTATCATGAAACATGTTGTTCGACGATGTACAGAGGTCAAGGTCAGGGTCAAGGTCAACCTAGGTCATCTAACATAATTGCGTTTTAGGCAAGCTGAATTTACTTTTTTTGAATGTTTTTGACTACATTTTTGGTAAAAGCTTCTCAGATCATGATTTCATGTAATATGGACACATAAACAATCGGTGCACACATCAGTATACACACAGACACACACAGACATACAAACACATATTATTGACCTTGACCTAACTTGACCTGAGATGACCTCAGCAGCAAAAACCTGGTCGGGTAGTGTGACAAAGAGGTTCTAGCTGGCTTGGCACCAGAAAACGGCATCGTCATCGGTATATGACAAACAGCGCGCTTGATATCCAACGGTGACCTAAAACAGCAACATTTTTTAGTTTGACCTGACCTGGAAGGTCAATGACTGACCTGAGAAGGTAAAACTGGGTATCATTGGATTCGTCTCTTCCCAAAGAATCTTTTTGGTCTTTACCGCTAAGCTCTATCTCCAACAGGAACGAAATGGCGCGGGGGGGGGGGTGGCAACCACCCCCCCCCCCCCATGTGCGTTCTAGGATGGGAAAATGGCATGTGCGGGCGAGGGTTAACCCGCGCGGCGCTGGGGGGGGTAAATATTACCCCCCCTCACGGATTTTGCCGATAACTCAAAAACGGCGTAAGATATCGTCACGAAACTTGCAGTACCTTTTCTTACAACAATTTTACACATCGTGTGCAAATTGTAGCCAAATCCGACGGAACATTTTCGAAAAAATCACGGTTTTGTGACGTCACTACCAGGGCTGCGGAGTCGATGGATTTTCGGCGACTCCGACTCCGACTCCGACTCCGGCTTTCAAAAACCAGCTCCGACTCCGACTCCGACTCCGGGCAGAATTGTCGACTCCGACCGACTCCAACTCCCGACTCCGACTCCGCAGACCTAGTAGGGCTGCGGAGTCGACAGATTTTCGGTGACTCCGACTCCGACTCCGGCTCGGGTTTCTAAAATCGACTCCGACTCCGACTCCGACTCCGGTCACAACTGTCGACTCCCACCGACTCCGACTCCCACTCCGACTCCGACTCCGCAGCCCTGGTCACTACACGCGATTTTCGTCCAAAATCAGCCCAATGTTCAAGCAGCTTCTACGCGTTCAATTTTAAAGCGATTTCAAGTTTGCAAACGCCAAAAGATGCAAAATGTTAACGTCTACAAAATGGCTATCTCGATTTTTCAAAATTTTGAGTTTTTGACCCCCCAAAATTGGAAAAACCAAAATTTTCGGGAGATTACATATAAAATCCAGAATTTTCAAAATTTTCAAAAAACCGAACTATATATGTGAGAAGTAGGTGTGGACTATACACATTCCAAATTTCAAGTCAATCGGTCAAAAAATGGCTTTGGGATCGTCCAAAAACTTAGTGAATGTCACTCACAAAAAGTTTGAAATTTGATTTTTGGAAAAACTATACAACTTAGGGGAATACAAATGACACCAAAATGTTCCCCGTAAAACTCTGCATCCAATAGACCTTTTTTTGGTGAAAAGCAAAAATTTTTAAAATTTGACTTTTTGACCTTGATCCTTTGACCTTGATCCCGGATCCAAACCCCTGGGATCGGATCAAAGATCATGATCCCGGGATCATCTCCCATGTCTGGTTGGAATATCTGAGGACCAGTTTCCAGCATGGGTGTCAGCATGGTCCGATGGGCAATGACTGGAGGGGACAATCATGGTCCATTTCAAGACCATTTTTTCCATGCAATGCTAATAGGCATTATGTTCAAAATGAAAAGCAGGGCAAAATGTTTTCTGCATTACAAGTCATGCTGACGACCCCGGTTTTGGGTAGGAACAGTCATACGGGGTGACTCCGATTTTCAAGGTGACTGATACAGGGTCGTGAGGTGAAGTGTAGAATGTAGATGGTTGTTGTCAGTGTCCCAAAATTGCAATTTGGCTTTGTGTCAGAGTGGAAAATTTGAGCCCGAAAAGGCCAATGAGAGTGGAAAATGGGAAGCAAAACGTGGGATCTGAATTTGATACATGAGGGAAAAACTTAACGATTTCAGTGCGAATTCAGTGCTACGGCACTGGGCTTGGGTGTTATTTCACTCACTTATGCAAAAAGACCATTTGGGAGTGGGAAAATCACTTCGAAACTCATATGCAAGAGTGGAAAATAATTCGCCATTGGGTGTCGTCTCCCACCCAAATCAACATATTTTGGGACACTGGTTGTTGTCCATCTCAGTTGGTGAAACTATGGCCATCTGTTTTATTTTTGGAAGCTTCTATTTTTAGGTACGCTCTTCCAAAAATGAAAAGGCATTTTC